ATAAAGACACATAACCCTTTTCTCCTCACAGAGGAGATTAAGATGAGCAAAATGATGTATGTTTTATAAATGTTAGAATGAGAGATCATTTTAATTACTTTCTTCAAATTCAGAAGTTTACAGACATATTATTTGTATGCCTCTAAATAAAATGTTCATGGCTATAAAAGCTTCTAATAGTTTATTTTACATAGTTTAAACAGTTAAATGGAGGCCCACCTGTGAATGTACTCGAACACCTAAAACACATCTTCCTTGTTTGATATCATGGAAAAATTAAAAGCAATCAGCCGAGATATCGGGAAGGGAATTGTGGACCTCCACAGGTCTCGTTCATCGCTGGGTACGGATTTGAGATGCCTGAAGGTCCTACGTTCATCTGTTCAAGAGGTCATACAGTACACAAGTATGAACACCATGCTAATGTCATCATACTGTTCAGGCGTCCCAGCGATGAACACGTGTTGTTGCCAAGCGTGCAAATCAACCTCACAGAGACAGAAAAAGCAAGGACCTTGTAAAGAAGATGCTGGCTGATGCTGATAAGATTGTCTATCCACAGGGTAACAAGTCCTGTACCAAAATGGGCTGAAAGGCCACTCAGAGAGGAAGAAGCCATTACTCCAAAAGCAACATAAAAAAGCCACGCTACAGTTTGCAAATGCAATCAGGGATAGAGACCTTAGTTTTTGGAATCTTGTGGTCTGATGAAACTGAAAATGAAATAGCTTGGTTGTTAGATTTGGAAGAAAAATGGAGAAGCTTGCAGACCTGTGAAACATGGAGGAGGTAGCATCATGTCATGGTGGGGTTTGCTGCAGGAGCGACTTTTTATACAGTGTATGTAAATATCTGGTTTCAACCTCATTGTTACACTTAAGTGGTAGAATATTAGCATGTATAATATAATAACAGAGATAATATTTGAGATTTTTGTGTCAGTAAGGCTTGGAAACAAAAAGCTTTCCAAAAAACAAATGTTTATTTACATCAGTTTTGCTCTCCATTCCTCTTCACTGTCTCTGTCTAAACAGCTGGTTTAGATTTCGGAGCGGTCTTGGTCAAACCATCACGTCTGATCTGTGAAACCAGAACACCTCTGGTCGTCTTCATCCATGGTCTGAACCTCTCTTCAGTTTTGGATGGGAATCCTTCATATAACAGACAGTAGTGTCACACATACAGATAGTTATGCACATAATAACACTTTGCTCGCTTAGGTGGTCCTCACTCCCAGTTCCCTGCAGAGTGGAACAGCACCACCGCTGGACTGGTTGAACTGGGCTTTGCTGTGCTTATGGGTGAGATGTTTTGTTTCCTGTTTGTCTGCAGGAATTCCCCCAACACACACAGTTTCTGACTTTAAAGAGTTTACACATATGTTAAAGTGCCATTTATTAGCTGTGGAAGTTCATATCTGTGAAATGTTTTATCATGAAGCAAAGTCAGCCACGCCTTATTCTGCACTGTAAAAGTTTTACTTTAAAGGTCAATTCTGCAGTTTTTATGCATCTTTCATTGACTTAAACTAAGGTAGCTGTTCCTGGGAAACACTTCTGACATACACAGGATGCCAAAGATCATAATCATTACCAGAATTTATTATTAACTGTAGTGAACTGTAAAAAACAAAGCCTTTTTAAGTCGATGTGTTTGATCCCTCTCTGTTTCCAGTAAACTATCGGGGATCCACAGGGTTCGGTCAGGACAGCATTTTGTCCCTGATTGGTCAGATTGGGAGTCAGGACGTACAAGATGTGCAGGTATCAATGTTCCTTGTCTGGCTCTTGAAATATACCTCCAATGAGCGATGCTCCAGCAGATAAATAGTGGTCCTGATAGTAAGATCCTTCACTTTAACACCATCAAATTGATCTGGCTTTGTTTACCCAGCGAGCTGTTATGGCTGCGCTACAGATTGACAAAACCCTTGATCCCAAACGCTTGGCTGTGATTGGCGGCTCCCACGGTGGCTTCCTGTCCTGTCATATGATCGGTCAGTACCCAGACTTCTATAGAGCCTGTGCAGCCAGGAATCCGGTCATTAACGCTGCTACACTACTGGGAACCAGTGACATAGTGGACTGGTGAGGAACACCGAAAAACACTGCATGTAATATTCACAGCACCACTTTGGGAAGTTCCAAAAATCTGACCTTTATAGAAGAGTGTGAAGAAGAAAGTCATTTTTCAAAGAAATGCTGAAAAAATGCCATTTGAAGCTTGTAAAGTGGTATGCATGGAGGGACACCTGAGACTGCACACACTGAGCACACTATTCTCACAGTAAAACATGGTGGTGGCACCATCACGCTGTGGGGATCCTTTTCCATTCCTCCTTAGGATCATGCATTGCTTTGCATTAGTGTATCACATAAAATCCTTTGAAGTTTGAGGGTGTAATGGGTGAAATTGTGGGAAAGTTCAAGGGGTAGGAATACTTTTACAAGGCACCGTAATAGTCTGCTTAACTGTTTTTTTTCTCTACCTGCTTATAGGCGATACACAAGTGCAGGCTTTCACTTCTCATACGACAACATCCCTACTGCTGAAACCCTGGCTGCAATGTTACAGAAGTCCCCCATCACACATGCTGCATTGGCAAGACACACACGCACACACCTTATTTATTATCTCACAAAAATAACCCAAAAATCTCACAAAAATAACCTTATTCAGCCAGAAGTTATTTCACTTTTGCATTTTTCAAATCTGGTTTAGTACGAAATTTAAACCCTTATTAACATTGAGAGTAAAGGAACTATTGAGCATTTTAGCCCTGGCAGTTTTACCAAAAGTGCCCTGTAGGACGGTGCTAGAACTCTGATATAAAAAGGTTAACATAATCAACAGTTTCAAGCTTTTAGAGATACTATAAAACATGACATCAACAAAGCATTTTTGAAATATAGTTACTTTAGTTGAGGGAAGAAAGAACCTGCATGACTTTTGTCAAATCAAGTGTTATTCTTTTAATGTGTGTAGATCAAAGCTCCAGTGCTACTGATGTTGGGTGGGAAGGACAGACGAGTTTCTCCTCATCAGGGTCTAGAGCTCTACAAAGTACTGAAGAGCCGAGGTTCACCTGTCAGGTACAAGTAAGCAACATGTAAACCAAAACGCCTGGCACAACCTGAATTTCCACAGTTTCATTTCTCTTTCCAGGTTATTGTGGTTTCCAGAAGATGGACACTCTCTGTCCAGGGTGGACACTCAGGTTGACTGCTTCCTCAACACCGTTTTGTGGCTGAACCAACACCTCTGAGCAAATCCTCGCAGGCACTGTGACACGGCTGTTTTTATTCTGCTGAATGCAGCTGAATTTTTGACACAACTCATTTGTAATAAAACAGACTCCGTTGTTTGTACTAAATCCTAATTTAGCAAAATATCTTTGAAACAAAAAGCTTGCATCTGTGTCTTGAAGTCTAGATTTAATAATTTTGTTTCACTTTGAGTCTAAGGTTGAATCCCATTTCCGAGGGTTTACCCCTAAGTCTTGGCACTGAATACAGGTAGTGGTTATTTTTTATTTATTTATTTTTTTCAAGCCAAGCAACAGCTCCCCCCGAGCCAACGCAAAGCAACAGTGATACCACACATCCTTCCATTCGTCCGTAGGGACACGGTGAAAACCACCAACCCCAAGAACACACCACCCACCAGGAACCTCCCAGCAGACAAGCACCCCAGTACAAGGCCAAGAGGCCCACTGCAAACACCAAGCCCAGAGACGTCCGCCCCACAGCACCCACACATGACGGCCAGAGCCGCACCTCACAGAACCACCACCACAGCATGCCATACAGCGGAGGACAGAACGCAGCAAAGAGCACCCAAAACAAAAGCAATGCGCAAATGTGCCCCCACCAGCCTCCCAAAAATAAAGCCTCTCCACGAAAGTGAAGACCCACAGCATCCAAACCCAAGAACACACGCCTGACACCCATACACCAGCCAGTTTCAGCACTGTGAGAAAACCTGCACCGAAGCCCACAAAAGGTAGAGAGCCCGCAGAGCCAAAACCAAAACTCCGGCCAGCCCGCCTGCCCAGACCGTGCAGACCCCTCCCCCAGACAGAATCGGAACTGAGAACCGTCAGGAACCGGAACCAGAATTCGAACCGGAACCGCCCAGACCCAAACGATGCCTATCCCAAACCCAAGGCCGACCACCCACCACCAACCCAGAAGAAAACCTACAGCCACCCAAACATTCAAACAACTCCCAGAACACATAAGACATTAGACACCCAGGTTGACTTCACCTCCCTCCCACTGACCCTCCGCAGAAAGCACTCCCTGAAGGAGTGAGCACCTGCAATGAGATGGTACCCCCCCTAATTTAGGAGGCCCCTAAGCCCACCAATGCCGATCCTTACTAATACTGACTGCAACCCAATAACCTTAAGACAGCATCTGCTAGAGAAGGACTTAACAGGCTTCAAAGGACATGTCTTCTCCATAGTCCAAACAGGACAGTTTGTGGAATGGGAGAACCAAACAAGGGTCATAAAAAGGTGGAAGAAAAAACATAATCGGCATGCTCCTAATTACTTCCAACTTTACTGGCGTGAAAAGAAGATCCCATTGGAGATGTTTTCAAGTATCACAGTGGAGGAGGCTCCATCATGATCTGGGAGCTTTTTCCTTCAGTGGAACAGTGAAGCTTCAGGTTGTGCAGGAGCGTCAAAGAGCGTCTGGTTATGTGGAGATGTTTCAGTGTGCATTCCTTTTGACTGAGGTTCTCCTGTGTGGTGATAACTGGATCTTTCACTGGGTCAAAGGAGCAGTTTGCCACTCCCATCTGACAAATCACTTCTTCCAAAAGAGTAACACCTCACCTTTAGAGCACCTTACATGTTTCTGTGGTCTAAATCTGATTGCTTGGGAATGAATGGCAAGCGAGGTGTACAAAAACAGATGTCAGTTCCAGACTGTAGATGCCTTTAATGAAAGTATGTCTAAGCTAATTTCTGAATGAATCAACAAGAACTGGGCTGCATGGTGGCGCAGTTGGTATCACTGTTGCCTTGCATTGAGAAGGTCCTGGGTTCGATTCCCAGCTGGGGGTCTTTCTGCATGGAGTTTGCATGTTCTCCCTGTGCATGCGTGGGTTCTCACCGGGTACTCTGGCTTCCTCCCACAGTCCAAAGACATGCCTGTTAGGTTAATTGGTCTCTCTAAATTGCCCTTAGGTGTGTGAATGAGTGTGTGCGTGGTTGTTTGTGTGTTGCCCTGCGATGGACTGGCGACCTGTCCAGGGTGTATCCCGCCTCTCACCTGTAGACTGCTGGAGATAGGCACCAGCTCCCCCGCGACCCACTATGGAATAAGCGGTAGAAAATGACTGACTCAACAAGAACAGTAATGCTTCTCACTACTGACTCCATTTTTCAATAGTTCTGTTTTGATCAGCTGAGGCACCCCCTGTTTCAATTTAAGTCTTTTTAAATAAATGACTATTTTCTTTGTTTTTTGCTCCTATTTCTGCTCGTTGCATTAATAACAGGGTTACAATCCTGTGGTGCTAAAGGGAAATACTTTTAATGTTTTTTCACTGCTTTTGATTAGGAGTATGTTTTAACAGAGATAAACTGGCCTATTTTATTTTCCAAAACTTAAAATTTGGAAATATTTGAGATTTGCTTTACACCAACTAACAACAATTAACTGTGGTACTGAATTAATATATCAGAACACTTCAAACTGTACATCATATATAGATAATTAACTATACATATATTACACCAATAAAATATGTTAACTTCTACATTTCTGAGTGTATTTGCAAGCTTTGCTCTTAGCTAGAAAACCATATTTAGGGCTGGAAAACCTTTAGCCCTCCCTCTTACTGCACAGAAATAATTTATAAACCCCGGGTTAAGGACTAAGAATAATTTTCACCTGTCACTTTTACCATGCAAACAATTATAATCAGCTGTTTGGGAAACAAGGGATAAAACAGCACATTACATGTAATGTAGAAAAATGTCCAGCAGATGGCAGTGTGTACTTATTGTATTTTAAAAGCTATAGTAAAAGCAAATGGCAAGTTGTAACCTATTGAACTTGCAGGTTTAACATGTTTAACCTTAGATTGCCTTCGTAGATCTATGAATAACAATAAAGATGCTGTAATTCAAATTGAAAAAAATTAAGTACTTTATTTAAAAAAAGTAACTCCATTTGAGTTATAAGGAAAATAAAGATGAAAAAAAATGTCTTAAGATGCCAGGAGAAACTGAACACTGGAGGCTTTATAACCACAGAGACCCATTGCAAATATTTAGACCACCTGAAATTTAATATCCTTTAAATGAGTCTCTTCACCAGCTTTCTCATGGGACCGCCTGAGCATGTAGAACTGTACTGCTGACCTTCAATTCAAGAGATAGAAACAGGATCCAAGAAAACAATCTATTTGATAGTGAGGCAATAATAATTCAGTCTATACAATCTAGTTTATTTTTGTATGGTGTCAGTTCACCTAAATCTCAGGGCACGTTGCATAAAAACAGTCCCATTTAAATCCAGTTACCTGCAGTCCATCCCAGTTTTTGTTACTCTGGAAAATTAAATCCCTCTCCTATATTTTTTGGGATTTATGAAATAAAATGTTGAATAATGCTTGAAAAATTACAGATTTACACAATGTAAATAGCTGAACTGTGAAAGACACAGCATAAAAGACAGGAAATGTTTCTTCAAAACAAATTTTTTAATATACCCCAAAAGATCAAAGTATAAAAAAATGCATTAGTGGCCCTTTAATAAACTATATTTACACTGAAAAAGATGACCCAATGCTGATACAATGTCTCTGAGGCGAATAGGGAATGGAGTTTCATTTATTTTTGTGAAAAAAAAGATTAATTGATTCAAAAGAAATGACAGTAAAAACCATTTCTGGTTCACACAAAAAGTCCTGGACTTGTATAATATTTGCACATCTGAACATATGTGACTGTAGCTCAATGATTAAAGACAATATGTTAAAGATCGAGAAGTCCCGACTTTGAGGCCAGCCCATTCTGTTCTTATTCTTATGCTCGTCAATCTCGGTTAAAACGAGTTTAGATTTAGACTTCTAATAAACGTCTAAAACACAATGAAAAACAAAGTTCACCTTTACTCCAAATATGCATCAGTTTAGCCTAAATGTATAAGGACAGAACTGTCCAGCTATACTGAGCCTTTTGCCCAATGATAGATGAATGGATGTGGACCATAGACATTGTTCAACAGAATACAGTGTGAATCCCTGGATTAGATGCTTTGTAACTGACTGAGAATAGTTAAATTAAGGCATTGCGTGGCATAGCAGTAGAGCGGGCGCCTCATATACAGAGACTATAGTCCTCGATGCAACCATCCTGGGTTTGATTTCTGACTTTGAGACCTTTGCTGCATGTCTTCCCCCCTTCTCACTCTGCCCATTTTCTGTCTGGTAACTGTCAATAAACACCAATAGTGCCAAAAAAATCTTCAAAAAAGAATAGTTAAACTATGTAAAAAAAAAAAGATAAAAATTATATTAGAACACTAAATGAATCAGGGCTGCACGGTGGTGCAGTTGATAGCACTGTTGCCTTGCAGCAAGGAGGTCCTGGGTTCGATTCCTGGCCGGGGGTCTTTCTGCATGGAGTTTGCATGTTCTCCCTGTGCATGCGTGGGTTCTCACCGGGTACTCAGGCTTCCTCCCACAGTCCAAGGACATGCCTGTTAGGTTGTTTGGTCTCTCTAAATTGCCCTTAGATGTGTGAGTGTGTGCATGGTTGTTTGTGTGTTGCCCTGTGATGGACTGGCGATATGTCCAGGGTGTACCCCGCCTCTCGCCCATAGACTGCTGGAGATAGGCACCAGCTTCCCCGCGACCCACTATGGAATAAGTGGTAGAAAATGACTGACTGACTAAATGAATCATAAAATAATGGCGGAACATCTTGCAGCACAATACCCCTGTGTTTAGCCCAACAGCCATGCAATAAGATGTTGTTAAAGAACATTAGTTGCACATAGGATTAGAATAAATTAAAGTGTGCTGGGCCAACAAGCTCCTCAGATCTCTTTCACTGTTGAAGCAAAATAATCATTCTAAACTTAATCTTTAATTTGAATGGATCAGATTTTACCAACACAAACTTTTAAAAAACCAGTGCACCTACATTTCATCTAAAAGCCGAATATATCTGCAGCTGCTCTACTGATACACTGGTCTTACATGAGCGTGTCTGTACATTGAAAGATGTTGATAAGGGCGATATGACTCATGGCCCAGGGCAAGAAGGCCTGCGTGGTGGCATGAGCAATTAAAAAAATGCACTCTCAGTTGCCCCAAAGCAAGTTTTCTATTGCTTTGATGCATGAGCAGTTAATTGGGAGGGAGCACCTGCATTTAACATTCTGTATTAGGTAATCTGGCCTTACACTACAGGTATCTATTGACAATGAGGTTAATATCTGATCCGTAGCTTATGAGTCAGTACTGAATTAAAGGGCTATTTCAGCAATTTTAAGGAATTAGGTGTAGGGTGGCACAATAGTAGGAAAACATGCAGTATGTGATAATGACGACTTACGAATAAATAAACACTTAACAGTGATAATCTTTCTGTTTTGGTTACATTGCAAATATACATAACATAGTTTTGTAATGACTTTACAACCTTACCACCACTTTACCTTCCAAAACATTTTATGCTGCTTTAATTAACAAGCGTCATCTAGTATATTTCCAAAGATAGGGAGCCTGACTACATGGTACTTAAATAAGTAGTTTATGTTTATTGCAGTCTAAGCAGTTCATTGATGTTGATATTGCATTCAGTGATATTGCAAAAACTATATTTATGATATAATGCACATCCCTAGCATAAAATGCATTTAATAATTTCTAATTTAAAATACAAAATAACCCTACTAGGTTGGTCTGATGGATGTGATAAAATTGTTTTGTTTATACTTTTCGACCCTTGGCGAATCCTTTTGCTCAAACAGGAAGCAGCCAACACCAAATCAAGGTAACTCAAATGAAAAACATGATTAGATTGCAGAAATATATGTTAAAAATATCCAGTGTTGTAAGGTGCAAGTGAAATTCATAAATGACACGATGAAATTACTAATGTAAGGGGAGAAGATGTGAGAGAGTATGGAAAGATTTTACCATTTACCTACTCAGAAAACCTGACTAAGTATAGGCTTAAAAAACAGCCCTGGCCCGCAGGGACAAGAGAGTGCTCTGAGACCGTTACTGATGGAGGAGAGTCCTTGCTGTGACTCAGAAGTGGCCATGAACAGTGACAACACTTTCATTTTCCGCACCATGGGTAATCCTCATATGATACTGATGACAAATGCTGATTTATAGACGCCTGAGCTGAAGCACTCGCTTGTTTTATATTTTCTGTTATCCAGAAGATATCAGCCAGACACGGTGGCGGCATTAATTGTCATCTCCACCAACACCCAGATCTGCAGCCTTGACCGCAGCTGCTGTCTGATAAAATCACTGCGATTTGGGTCCTTAGTGAGGTCATCGGTTTGGGAGAGAGATGGAGGGTGGAATGGAAGTGCTGATGAGGAAGTGACGTATGAAGAAAAAAAGAAGAAGAGACAGACAGACGAGTGAGTGTTGGAGAGCCAGATAATGGGAAAGGCTCAAGGCGCCCCTCTGTGGTATTCTGACATGTGGGCTGGTGCAAAGAGATGAAGTATTGTTAAGAAGCCAGAGGCAGGGGAGAAGACTCATGCTCAAAGCTTGGTGTATGTAGGAGGTATGCAGACAAAGGGAGGAAAGAGTGAAAGTGTTGTTTTCTGAGGCTCGTGGACAAAGAGTCTTTTGGTGTCAGTTTGTTCTGGTGCTTTCCTTCTTTGACCGCCTGCAGAGAAAAACAAGTTCTGCAGAGGTGGACAGGAAAACTCAGCAAAAAGAGTTGTTGGAATTACATCCGCTTAGGTTTATGACTTTTCACAAGGGGGCATTCAGAGATCTTATCTCATTGTACAACTGCTGACTAACTTTTTGCATGTTCTCATTGTTTTTTTTTTCTATTTATCTTTACTGACGAGCTTCATATTT